CCCCCCCCCGGGACAGTTAGGCACGCGGCACCCCTTGCCCTAAGTTTGAAGTGAAACAGTCCGTTCGACCACTCTGATCTGCTGCTTAATTCTGTTGCATGGCCAGTGGCTGATTGCTGGATGAGACAAATGCTCACACGTGTGCTGCTTCTTGTGGAAGTGGGGCTGTTATCCGTGCTGTCCACCTGCTTTGCTGTTGGGTGTCGTGGTTAGGAGCACAGACTCTAATCTGGGAGAACTGGGTTTCAGTCCCCGCTCCTTCACATGCAGCTGCTGGTGTGACCTTGCATCAGTCATGGCTCTCTCAGAGCTGTTTTCTCAAGAGCAGTCCTCAAAAGAGCTCTCTCAGCCCCACCTTCCTCTTGTGGGGAGGGGAAGGGAAAGGAGATTTGCTGCTCTGAGAAGGGTGGGGTAGTGAAGGGTGGGGTATAAATCCAATCTCCTCCTCCTCCTCCTTTTTCAGTTTGGTATAGAGAGCCAGTCTGGTGTCGTGGTTAAGTGCGCGGACTCTAATCTGGGAGAACCGGGTTTGATTCCCCACTCCTCCACTTGCACCTGGCTGGATGACCTTGGGCACCTGGCTGGATGACCTTGGGCAAGCCGTAGGTCTGCCAAGAGTTGTTCTTGTAAAAGAGCCGTTTCTGTCAAGAGCTCTCTCAGCCCCACCTACCACACAGGGTGTCTGTTGTGGGGAGGGGAAGGGAAAGGAGTTTGTAAGCCACTCTGAGACACCTTTGGATAGTGAAGGGCGGGGTATACATTCAATCTCTTCTTCTTCTTCTTCTACCTCACAGGGTGTCTGTTGTTGGGAGGGGAAGGGAAAGGAGTTTGTAAGCTGCTCTGAGACGCCTTTGGGTAGTGAAGGGCGGGGTATAAATCCAATCTCCTCCTCCTCCTCCTCTTCCTCCTCCTCCTCTTCTTCTTCTTCTTCTTCTTCTTCTTCTTCTTCTTCTTCTTCCTCTTCTTCGTGTAGTAGTTAAAAGCGCGGACTCTAATCTGGGAGAACCGGGTTTGATTCCCCACTCCTCCACTTGCACCTGCTGATGTGACCTTGGGTCAGTCACAAGCTCTGGCACAGCTGTCCTTGAAAAAGAGCAGTTTCTGTCAAGAGCTTCTGTCAAGAGCAGAGTCCTGTCAAGAGGGAAAGGAGTTTGTAAGCCGCTCTGAGATTCCAAGTGAAGGGCGGGGTATAAATCCAATCTCTTCTTCTCCTCTTCTTCTTCTTCCTCTCCCCTGCCTTGACAAATGCCACCTTTAAGTTGGCCCTAGACCAGGGCCCTAGTTAGTACTTGGATAGGAGACAACCAAGGAATACCAGGGCTGCTGTCCAGAGGGAGACGATGGCAAACCACCTCTCGGTGTCTCTTGCCTTGACCTGGATAGCCCTGGCTGACCCGATCTCATCGGATCTCAGAAGGGTCGGCCCTGGTTAGTCCTTGGATGGGAGACCGCCAAAGAAGTCCAGGGTTGCTCTGCCGAGGCAGACAATGGCCAACCCCTTCTTTTCATCTCTTGCCTTGAAGACCCTGCAGCGTAAGCCGGCTGTGACTTGACAGTGCTGATCTAGAGAACAGGAGAGGCAACTCCCCACCCCCCACCCCCTGGGCCATCAGCCCTCTGAGCCAGTTTGGTGTCGTGGTGAAGAGCGGCGGGCTCTAATCTGGAGAACCGGGTTTGATTCCCCACTCCTCCTCCACATGCAGCCGGCTGGGTGACCTTGGGCCAGTCCCAGTTCTCTCAGAGCTGCTCTCTCAAGAGCAGTCCTCAGTCGGAGCTCTCTCAGCCCCGCCTACCTCACAGGGTGTTTGTGGTGGGGAGAGGAAGGGAAGGCGATTGTAAGCGGCACTGAGACGTTGAGTGAAGGGCGGGGTATGAAAACCAACTTCTTCCTCTTCCTCTGCTGCTTCTGCTGCTTCTGCTTCCTCTTACTCCTTTTCCTGGTGGCCACAATAGCCAATCCACCCCTGGTTCAGTGGGAATCCACAAATGGCAGACAAAGGCCCGTTTGACCTTCAGTGCTGGTGTGGAAAATCTAAGGGAATACGATGGATTTCTTTCCTTTCTGGTCGTGTATTGATAACGCTTATCTCCTGTGCCTCGGGCGTTCAGTCCTGCACAAATCCCCTCCAAATCTCATGCTTTCTGTAGCCCTTTGAATGGGCTGGGGGGAGGCAGGGAGGAGGGGAAAGGAAACGCTTCCGTTATCCTTGCGATCATCACAGTTCTTGGCTTTCTGCAAGAGAAGGATTGACATTCGTGTGCTGCCCTCTCGTCGTTCCTGAACTTTAAAATGAGGCGGGGGGAGGTACATTTTCTGCTTTTAACACACTCAAGCACAATTAGAAAGCAAGGAAGGGGGGGGGGATAAACCAGGAAGTAAATTTGGATATTTTATAGCCTAAATGCAGGAGCATCGAGTCTTCCTTTTATCCCTGTATTCCCAAGGTGTTCCGAGCTGGTGGCAGTGCTCTCGCGTATTTGAAAGACTTGAACGAGCCATAAGAACATGAGAGAAGCCAATGCTGGATCAGGCCAGTGGCCCATCTAGTCCAACACTCTGTGTCACACAGTGGCCAGAAATACCAGGGGCCATCAGGAGGTCCAGCAGTGGGGCCAGGACACTAGGAGCCCTCCCACTGTTGCCCCCCTTCCCAAGCACCAAGAATACAGTGCATCACCTGCCCCAGCCTGTGAGTTCCTATCTATACCTTGTAGCTAATAGCCACTGATGGACCTCTGCTCCATATGTTTATCCAGTTCCCTCTTGAAGCCGTCCATGCTTGTAGCCGCCACCACTTCCTGTGGCAGTGAATTCCAAGTGTTAATCACTCTTTGGGTGAATACGTACTTCCTTTTATCTGTTCTAACCCGACTGCTCAGCAATTTCATTGAGCGCCCGTGAGTTCTTGTATTGTGAGAAAGGGAGAAAAGGACTTCTTTCTTGACCTGCTCTATCCCATGAATAATCTTATAATCCTCGATCATGTCACCCCTCAGTCATCGTTTCTCCAAGCTAAAGAGCCCCAAGCACTTTAACCTTTTTTCATAGGGAAAGTGTTCCAACCAGTTTGGTGTAGTGGTTAAGTGCGCGGACTCTATTCTGGGAGAACCGGGTTTGATTCCCCACTCCTCCACTTGCACCTGCTGATGTGACCTTGGGTCAGTCACAAGCTCTGGCACAGCTGCCCTTGAAAAAGAGCCGTTTCTACCAGAGCTCTCTCAGCCCCACCTACCTCACATGGTGCCTGTTGTGGGGAGGGGGAGGGAAAGGAGTTTGTAAGCCACTCTGAGACTCCTTTGGGTAGTGAAGGGCGGGGTATAAATCCAATCTCCTCTTCTTCTTCTTCTTCTTCTTCTTCTTCTTCTTCTTCTTCTTCTTCTTCTTCTTCTTCTTCTTCTTCTTCTTCTTCTTCTTCTTCTTTTATCATTCTAGTTGCCATTTTCTGCACTTTTTCCAATGCTATAATATCCTTTTTGAGGTGTGGTGCCCAGAACTGTACACAGTACTCCAAATGAGGACGTACCATCGATTTATACAGGGGCATTATGATACTGGCTGATTTGTTTTCAATTCCCTTTCTAATAATCCCCAGCATAGTGTTGGCCTTTTTTATTGCAGTCACACACTGTCTTGACATTTTCATTAAGTTATCTACTACGACTCCAAGATCTCTCTCTTGGTCAGTCTCTGCCAGTTCAGACCCCATCAACATGTATTTATAGTTAGGATTTTTGGCTCCAATGTGCATCACTTTGCACTTGGCCACATTGAACCCCATTTGCTTCAAAAGCAATGGCTTTAAAAGCATGCTTGAAAATGGTGTGGGCCACACTCGCCAAAATCTCAGAAGCTAAAGGACAAATGCAATTTCCAGGGTCCAGAGCCCTGCTGACAGGTTGTTCTTCCTCTGGTGACTTGCAGAACCAGGAAAAGGGGCCCTGAGCTGGGTAGCCAACGCAAGCTCGATCTCGTCACATCCCAGAAGCTAAGCTGTGCCAACCCCGGCAAGTTCTTGGACGGGAGACCTCCAAGGAATACCAGGGCTGTGACGCGGAGGCAGGCCATCGCAAGCCACCTCTCTAAACATCATTTGCCTCCAAGCCCCACGAGGGTTTGACAGACTCCAACCATGACTTCCAGGCACGCACACACACAAACACACACACACACACACAAAGAAAAAGGGGATGCAGTTCTCTAGCAGGTCCTGACCTGGATTGCTCAGGCTAGCCTGAACCTGTCGGATCTCAGTGTCAGCAAACTGCCAAAGGTTCTTAATGTTCCTATATGCATCCTGGTACCTGAGTTCAGCAATGTACCTATCTCTGTATTTCCCCCCCCCCCCAGACGTCCGCTCATATAACCATGCCCACATATTCATAGTGGTTGCATTCTTGTTAGTCTATGCCAGCCATGCCTGCTGTAACGTTATCATTTCCAAGGCCACAGGTGGTCAAGAGAAGGAGTCTGTTTTGCTTTGCTTTGGTTTTAGTGAGTAGAAACTGTGGGAAGCGTTTTGTAGTGATAACACAGTTGCCGTTGCTTTCTCAGGGGTTTTGGGCGCGTAAACGGCTTTTTGGGCGCGAGCGGGAACCATGTCTATTGGCTGTATCGATTATGAACTTCCTTTAACCTTACCAGCTCAATAAGCTAGCGTTATTCTGAACAGTGATCCTGTTCAGTGACTCATGGCTTCAATAAAGTAATCCCTTTCTATAAGTTGAATTGCTGTGGGACCTGACACTCAGGAGCTAAGCAGGGTCAGCCCCGGTTAGCCCTCGGATGGGAGACCCCCCAGGAAGTCTAGGGTTGCTCTGCAGAGGCAGGCAACGACCCACCGCCTCTGCTCATTTCTGGCCTCGAAACCCCCGAGGGGAGTCACCAGAAGTTGGCTCACTGGCTGGCACTTCCTACCACATTTTCTAGCAGAATCAACGGCCCCGGGTTTCCGGCTGGTGCTGTGGCATCCGCGCCTCACCGACTCTGCCTTTTCTTCCAGAATCTCTCTAGCTGCGCATGCCTCAGCTTGGTCCCGGCCGAGAATGCCACGGTCGTTCCCGGGAAGTGCCCCAGTCCGGGTTGCCAAGAAGCCTTCCTGACATTCCTCTGCGTGATCTGCGTCTGCAGCATGATCGGCGCCATGGCGCAGACGCCCTCCGTCATCATTCTCATCAGGTGAGGGTCTGCCAGCCTCCAGCCTTGTGGGGGAGGAGGAGGAAGAGAGCCCTCCAAGGGTGGTGGGACTCGTGGTTATAAAATGACTGAGCATGTGCAATGGGCACAAGAGGGCTCAAACCACAATATGTCAGTTATCTTGCCGTGATCTTGACAGCAAAGTTGTAAGGTTCGTGGGTCCTGCCCAGGATCTTCTGCCGCACACACTTTGTGTGCGTGACACAATGACATCACCCGGAAGTGACATCATCACGTCGCTGATGTCCGGGGGTGACACTCTCAGGGGTCATTTCCTGCAGGAGCGCATGGGAGTGGAGCTCCGGCAGTAAAGAGCCCAGGGGGTGGGCACAGGCAACAAGCCCCACCCCCTGCTCCCAGCAGCCCTCAGTCAGAGCAAGAAGCAGCCAGGTAAGCTGCAGAGGCCCCCCCCCGGCCCCCCTCAGTCCCAAACAGTCCAGTGGCACCTTTAAGACCAGGTTTTATTCAGGCACAAGCTCTCCCTCCTCTGTGAGGGCAGATCTGCACGTTCCTCCCCCCCATAGTTAGCAATCCAAAACAGTCCGGTGGCACCTTTAAGACCAGGTTTTATTCAGGCACAAGCTCTCCCTCCTCTGTGAGGGCAGATCTGCATGTTCCCCCCCCCCATAGCTAGCAATCCAAAACAGTCCAGTGGCACCTTTAAGACCAAGTTTTATTCAGGTACAAGCTCTCCCTCCTCTGCGAGGACAGAACTGTACGTTCCCCCCCCCCAACAGCTAGCAATCCAAAACAGTCCAGTGGAGCCTGAGCGGTGGGTGTTGCCTTCTGACACACTTCCGGTGATGTCAGGGGATGTGGCATATGCAAATAAGTTATGCTAATGTGTTATGCTAATGAGCTCCCGCACCTCTTTTTCTACGAAATGACCCCTGGATGCTCTAGTTTTTGGACAAAACTCTGTGCTTCTTTTGCCCTCCTCTGTGAGGGCAGATCTGCATGTCCCCCCCCCCATAGCTAGCAATCCAAAACAGTCCAGTGGCACCTTTAAGACCAGGTTTTATTCAGGTACAAGCTCTCCCTCCTCTGTGAGGACAGTACGTCCCCCCCCCCCCAACAGCTAGCAATCCAAAACAGTCCAGTGGAGCCTGAGCGGTGGGTGGTGCCTTCTGACACACTTCCGGTGATGTCAGGGGGTGTGGCATATGCAAACGTGTTATGCTAATGTGTTATGCTAATGAGCTCCCGCACCTCTTTTTCTACGAACTGACCCCTGGATGCTCTAGCTTTTGGACAAAACTCTGTGGTTCTTTTGCCCTCAAGTCTGGGCAATGATGTCACTTCCGGGTGACGTCATCACATCAGGAACGTCACCTGGTGATGTCCCTGATCAGGGTTGGGGCTTCCTCAACTGGCTGACAGCAGATCCAAGCCCTGATGATCGGGGGAAGCCCCGCCTGGACCGGGGGGGGGGGGTCTGGCAACCCTCGTTAGAACAGTATTATTATCTCCACGTTGCCAATGGGGAGGCTGAGATAACAGTGGATTGCCGGCAGTGTTCCCTCTAAGCTGAGTTAGTGTGAGCTAGCGCACGGGTTTTTTAGCCTCGGGCTAACAGGTGGTGGTCACACGCGCAAGATAATGGGGGTGGGGGAGTGAGGCTATTTGCTTCGTAGGAATGTGACCCACAGTTGCGCAGTCACATAGTTCTTGGAAGCTGCAGGGACAGCCTGTCACTGCATGATCAGACGCAATGGCGGGTGAATCATTAGGGGGGGGTTGGCTTTCCGGTGCGCTTCAACGAGGGATCAATGATTCGCATCTCCGCACTGAGTGTTCCCTATGCAGTGTGCAATGATGCGCATACCAAGACGGGGGGGGGGAACAATGGCACAGAGTTGGGATGGCCTGATCAGACCATCTCAACGCCAAGGGAGAGCACTGGAGCGATCAGACACGGGAAAGTCCATCCGTGGCCCGTCACAACCTGTTTACTACCAGATTTCCCCTGGTGTCTTTCAACTCCGCCTCTGCGGTGGGGCAAAACGGGTTGCCGAGGGGTGCGGGGCGCTTCCCAGATGTTGTCTGATGTTGCCCTTTAAATCCGCCTGGCATTCACGCCTAGGGCGCAGCTAATTGTGCGTGTGATCAGGACCACCGGTTTTTGTCTTAGCGCAGGAAGGAGGGGCTCCAGAGCAAACTAATTGTATGCAGCAGCCAAATCGCTCACTCACAACTTTAATGCCAGCAGCTCACAAAGTAGAATTTTTGCTCACAGGACTCCACAGCTTAGAGGGAGCATTTCCTCGGTGGCAAGAGTCAGAAGGGGGATTTCTTGATTCACTGCTCGGGGGCAGTGTACAAAAATCATTGCGCCCTCATGGGCCCCCAACAGTTCCTTATGTGTACATAAGGTTTCCCAATAAGGTAACTTAAAAACGCGGACTTACCATCAAATTAACACATAACATGAGGATGTTTAAGATATGCAAAGTCAGGACTCAATAACAAGCTAAGGTTATAAGGTCAACCGTTGTAAAGCAATTGTCAGCTTGTGCAGTAACTCTCAGACCGCAATAAGTCCTTTAAGAGGCTTTATTTGGAAAGTTGCATTAAAGTTGATCTCCTTTGACAGAACTGAAAAATATTACAAAGTAGGAAACTACGAGACCTCTGGTCCAGGCCTCATTCATACATCATGATTACGTAGCATTTAGACAGGTTAATATCGTGCAGTTAAAATGGTGAGAATGTTTATCATTTGATACTCTCCCGAAGGCCATGAGAATTAGAAACAGCGATGTTCTCTCTAGCCTTTACGGAGGAGGCTTCCTTTCACAGGGTTACAAAGCGCAGCTAATCTAACAGTTCACACAGACATGTCTCAATCACTCCTCCCTCAGGAATGTCAGAGGAGGATCCTTGTGAATAGATTGATACAATGCCAGCAGGTGCTACATGACACTTAGGAACTACAAGCGGGGAGAAAATAGCTGGTGCAGCAATAATTAATAATCAGCAAAGCTATGTGCATCAGAGAGCCTCATTTGCAGGTGACATGACCCAATCACCAGACAAAGGTCCAATTCTGAGAGCAATAAATATGTCAAAATAGCAGATAAATGTCTAAAGGTGTCTTTTCTAATTGTGGGAAGCAAACCGAGAACATCTCAGGTGTGGAGATCACTTATATAGACAGGGATTTAACAGCAAATTAACACGTAACATGATGATGTTTAAGATACATACAGGGTGATTTCCCACAAGCGCTGCTCGGCGCTCACTCTTCTCTTTGGCCCGATGGTACGTGTCAATTTCACACAAGCTGCTGGGCGACCGCATTTTGCCCCGCCGAGCAGCACTTGTGGGAAATCACCCAAAGTTAGAACTAAATAACAAGCTTAGGTTATAAGGTCAACAGTTATAAGGTCAACACAGCTGGAGAGCCAGTTTGGTGTCGTGGTTAAGTGTGCGGACTCTAATCTGGGAGAACCGGGTTTGATTCCCCGCTCCTCCACTTGCACCTGCTGATGTGACCTTGGGTCAGTCACAAGCTCTGGCACAGCTGTTCTTGAAAAAGAGCAGTTTGTGTCAGAGTTCTCTCAGCCCCACCCACCTCACAGGGTGTCTGTTGTGGGGAGGGGAAGGGAAAGGCGTTTGTAAGCCGCTCTGAGACTCCAAGTGAAGGGCGGGGTATAAATCCAATCTCTTCTTCTTCTTCTTCTCATGCATCAGACAAAGGGGTCTCTAGCCCACGGCAGCGTCTGCTGCAGTCAAAGTCCGTATGCCACGCCTGTTTTGGTCCACTTGTGCTTGAACCTCCTTGCTGCAGAAAGTAGCATTCGGTTTCCAGGCAGGAGGTTTCGGCTAATTTTAAACGCCACTTTCAGCTTAACGGTGCGGGGTGCGGGAATATACTAATGGATGCCAGCTCCTCTCCTGCCGTGCTACTGAGCTGTTTTGCGGTGGCATGAAAGGTGACCAGCGGACGCTAATTGGTGCTCCCTGTGCCAGACATCAGAAAAGGGTGCTGTGATTACCTCTGGCTTTCATCTCCCCAGTTTGAAGCAGAGTTCAAAAATGGATTTCCCTTTCATGAGCCATCCGCCTCCGTACCAGGAAGTCCGTAGCCAAACGTGGCTGGCACCTGACTATGGAAGACGTCCGTTCAAGGCTAAAGCACTGACGTCTCCTGCCGCTATTCCGCAGTCTCTCCATCTTCCCTGTGATACTCGAGGGGGGTTTCTTAAAAACAGTTGCCCATTGACTCTCTAACAATTTACAAAGACAAAATATGGTCACAGTCCGTAGACATGAAAAGATAGAGCAACGGGAACTGTGTAAAGTGCGCTTAATGTTTCTATAATGATAGCAATAATGTTATAAATATGTAAAATTACATCATCTAGTAAGGTTTTGTACCAAGTTTATTTTAAATTTTGTTGTACAATTACCTAAGATGTAAGTACTAATGTTCATATGTATTATATCATGTATAAGCTTATAGATTCTTGGTCAGAAGAAAATGCTTGTCGAAACGGCATCACATTCCAGAGGCCACCATCCCGCCATCATTGTTATCTTCTATCTTATGTAACTGGATTTACAATTTGAATGTATTAGTATCAATTTTGTAATTTTCTTATTTATAACATGATTGCTATCATTATAGAAACATCGAGCGCACTTTACACAGTTCCTGTGGCTCCATCTCTAACCATTTAGCCAGGATAGCGTTTTTAAAAAGGCGAAAGCAGCGCACCTCTGAATTCCAAATTCTTGGGGCACACAAGAAGGGAAAATAGGCAACCATCACATCCGGCACTTTGTTCATTTGGATATTGATGCCCTGCTTTTCTCCCAAAGTTTAGGGCGGTGGTGGCTCAGTGGTTAAGACGCTGAACTGCAGACCAGAAGGTCAGTAGTTCAGCATTTCGAGACCCAAGTGCCGCATGATGGAGTGAGCTCCCGTCTCTGGCCCCAGCTCCTGCTAACCTAGCAGTTCGAAAGTAAGAGATTGCAAGTAGATAAATAGGTACTGCTTCGGCGGCAAGGTAACAGCGTTCCATGTGCCTCGGCATCTAGTCATGCCGGCTACATGCTCACGGAAATGTCTTCACACAGCGCTGGCTCTTGGGCTTGGAAACGGAGATGAGCACCGCATCCCTAGAGTCGGATCTGACGGGCTTTTGAGCAAGGGAAACCTTGACCTTTTACCTTTCTCCCAAAATGGGATCCAAAGCATTTTACAACATTGTTCTTCCCCCTGTATTTTATGCTCACAGCGACAACTATGTGAGGTAGGTTAGGCGGAGAAAGAGTGAGTGGCCCAAGGTCACCCAGCGAGTTTCCATGGCAGAGTGGGGATTTGAAACTGGGTCTCCCAAAGAGACACCAATCCCAGAGCCAGGAGGCAACCTCAAGGGAAGGCCTTGGCCTCTATGCCCTGTTGCTGGCCCTCCAGAGGAACTGGTTGGCCACTGGGTGAGACAAGATGCTGGACTAGATGGACCACTGGTCTGATCCAGCAGGGCTCTTCTGATGTTCTTCTCAGGGGAAGGCCTCGGCCTCTGTGCCCTGTTGCTGGCCCTCCAGAGGAACTGGTTGGCCACTGTGTGAGACAGGATGCTGGACTAGATGGACCACTGGTCTGATCCAGCAGGGCTCTTCTGATGTTCTTCTCAGGGGAAGGCCTCGGCCTCTGTGCCCTGTTGCTGGCCCTCCAGAGGAACTGGTTGGCCACTGTGTGAGACAGGATGCTGGACTAGATGGACCGCTGGTCTGATCCAGCAGGGCTCTTCTGATGTTCTTCTCAGGGGAAGGCCTCGGCCTCTGTGCCCTGTTGCTGGCCCTCCAGAGGAACTGGTTGGCCACTGTGTGAGACAGGATGCTGGACTAGATGGACCACTGGTCTGATCCAGCACGGCTCTTCTGATGTTCTTATCAGGGGAAGGCTTCAGTCTCTATGCCCTGTTGCTGGTCCTCCAGAGGGACCTGGTTGGCCACTTTGTGAGACAGGATGCTGGACTAGATGGGCCACTGGTCTCATCCGGCAGGGCTCTTCTGATGTTTTTAAATGCTTGTCTGATGCTTTAACCGCCGCACCATGCTGGATCTAGGTTTGTATCTGGCCGACCATGGTTGGAAACTGGTCAGAGAAACAAACAAGCCCTTAGTCTGAGCTAAGAAGATTCTTCTTGTGTCTGGCATAAAATAGTGTGAATTCCGAAGGCGGTGATTTTCAGAAAGGGTGTGTGTTGTTGTTGTTTTTTAAATTCTTTTAAGAAGAGAAGTCATTAATGACGCTGCTAAATGCCTTAACTTATCTTGCAGCTGCAGCTGGAACTGTTTTTCAGACTGGAATGGGGGGGAAGCAAGCTCATTGAGATCCCCCTCCCCAAAGAGATGCCCGTGTCATTGTGGTTGAGGGCAAAGCACAGCTGATGGTGGGGGCGGGGGCGGGTGTCTGTTCATTAAAGGAACTTTGTGATAGGAATCAATTTTTTTGCTTGGCTGTCTTCTCTGAACAGAACAGTGAGCCCAGAGCTGAAGTCTTACGCTTTGGGGGTCCTCTTCCTCCTCCTCCGTCTGTTAGGTAAGTGAGAACTGACGTTTCCTTCTTCTTTTCAACCCACCTCTAGGTAAAGGTAAAGGTAAAGGTAAAGGATTCCCTTGCTCGAAAGCCAGTCGAATCTGACTCTAGGGGTGCGGTGCTCATCTCCGTTTCCAAGCCGAAGAGTCAGCGCTGTCCGAAGAAATTCCCATGGGCATGTGGCCGGCATGACTAGACGCTGAGGTGCACGGAATGAGGCTGCGGTGGCTCAGTGGTTAAGGCGCTGAACTGCGGACCGGAAGGTCGGTAGTTCAGCAGTTCGAGACCCGAGTGTGCCGCATGACGGAGTGAGCTCCCGTCTCTGGTCCCAGCTCCTGCCAACCTAGCAGTTCGAAAGTAAGAGATTGCAAGTAGATAAATAGGTACTGCTTCGGCGGCAAGGTAACAGCGTTCCATGTGCCTCGGCATCTAGTCATGCCGGCTACATGCTCACGGAAATGTCTTCACACAGCGCTGGCTCTTGGGCTTGGAAACGGAGATGAGCACCGCATCCCTAGAGTCGGATCTGACGGGCTTTTGAGCAAGGGAAACCTTGACCTTTTACCTTTCTCCCAAAATGGGATCCAAAGCATTTTACAACATTGTTCTTCCCCCTGTATTTTATGCTCACAGCGACAACTATGTGAGGTAGGTTAGGCGGAGAAAGAGTGAGTGGCCCAAGGTCACCCAGCGAGTTTCCATGGCAGAGTGGGGATTTGAAACTGGGTCTCCCAAAGAGACACCAATCCCAGAGCCAGGAGGCAACCTCAAGGGAAGGCCTTGGCCTCTATGCCCTGTTGCTGGCCCTCCAGAGGAACTGGTTGGCCACTGGGTGAGACAAGATGCTGGACTAGATGGACCACTGGTCTGATCCAGCAGGGCTCTTCTGATGTGCCGCATGACGGAGTGAGCTCCCGTCTCTGGTCCCAGCTCCTGCCAACCTAGCAGTTCGAAAGCAAGAAACTGCAAGTAGATAAATAGGTACCGCTTCAGTGGGAAGGTAACAGCGTTCCCACCTCTACTCGAACACAAAGCCGGGTTCACTTATACCCGCACTGAGTAAGTGGGAAAGGTCCTCCGCCTTTGTCTAGCGGGCACATTTTTATTCAGGAAGCTCAGAGCAACGAGCCATGTTTCTCCCATACTCATTTTGTCCTGACAACAAACCTGTTGAGGTAGGTTTAGGTCGAAAGAGAGTAACTGGTCCCAAAGCTCTATGGCAGGGTGGGGACTTGAACCCAGGTCTTTCAGACCACGACACCATGCTAACGAAGGGGTGCGGTCAACTTTGCTAGCGACCCAAGACATTCTGGGAGCTGTCGCTTACGACCTCCGCCCCTTTTTCTTCATCTTTTTAGTTTATCTGCCCCTCTTCCCCTTTGCGAAGAGCCGATTCATTAATCCTCTCGTGCTAAAACTACTTAAGCTAGTATTTTATTGCATTGTTGAATTAGAAAATTTATATGCTGCCTCTTGTCAGACTCACAGCAAACAATGAAATACACTCTTGCAGGAAGGTTTTATTTTATTGAAGCCATGTAGTACTTAGAACAGATTCTCTGTTCAGAATAACACAAGGTGCTTGAGACAGGTATAATAAAGCAAGTTTAAAATAACATGGGCCAATAGATATGGTTCCCGCGCCCGCCCTGAGGACTCATCGCGCGCCCAAACCCTGAGAAAGCAACGGTTGTAGCTGATTAAACAATTATTCTATTCTCACACTACTGTTCATTATAGACTAAGCAAAAAGCCTCCAAACGCGAACCACCTGTAGCCTTGGCAGATAAGGTTCCTTCAAAGCACTGCTAGCGTACATGGAAAGGAATGCAGTTGAAGATGAACGCATGAGGGTGAGGGGGAACATGCGCACAAGAGTCTAAGCCAGCCCAGGGAAAGAGAGGGTAGTGGTGGGGGAATGGACACATCTCATATGCATGGAAAAGACATATTGGCAGCTTGCTGACACCTCTCCAGAGACCAGCTCCCCAAAGCTCTTTTGGGAGGGTATTAGATCCACCTCTCCCCCCCCCCGCATACCTGGGTCAGCAGGTCTGCAGACGAATACCCCCCCCCATCTAAACCTGGCCCCAATCTTTTGGTCTATCGATCCGCATGGGACCCAGGTTCAGCCTTAGAGACAGGATTATATTGTGTGTATGACATTCTGTGTGTACTACACCCATATTGTGGTCTGGACCTTCGAAGGTCACTTCTGCACAAGTGTTTTGCTTTCACTTGGACTAAAAACTGTGGGATTCTCAAAAAAAACCCACCCATGAAACGTCCACATAACTTTACCTCCCAGGCTCCCTCCAGTCATTCACTTCCATGTTACTCCCTGTTTTGGTCTGTTCTTTCCAAAACCAGAAAGATCTTTCCAGAAAGATTTCCAGGAAGATGGTACTCAAAAGATACGTTGCCCACCATGGGAACAGGAAGGTACCAATTTTCGTACCTCCCTGACCATATTGATTCCATTTTCCCTCATGCCTGCTGTTCTGCCCCCCCCCCACGGCCACCAGTGGACTTTTTGCTTTTCTAAAAAGAAAACCGGTGTAGCTGTATTGCTAAAACATCATTACAGGTAAACAGGGCTCTTTTTGTAGAAAAAGCCCAGCAGGAACTCATTAGCATAATAGGCCACACCCAACAGCAGGAACTCATTAGCATATTGGGCCACACCCCTGACAGCACAGCTCATTGGCACATTAGGCCGCACCCCCATGTTACCAGAAGTGTGGTTATCCAGCCGCACCCACCTTTTGCTTGTTATTCTGTTTACCTTGTTTGTTGTCAAAACCCAGGGCCTTTTTGTAGCAGGAACTCCTTTGCATGTTAGGCCACACACCCCTAATGTAGCCAATCCTAATGAGTTTCTGCTGTTGGGTGTGGCCTATTATGCTAATGAGTTCCTGCTGGGTGTGGCCAACTTGGGAGCCAGCCGGAACTCCGTTCCTGTGCGTTCCTGCCCCAAAATAGCCCTGCAGGTAAAGCTACTATTGAATTTAAAAAGAACTGACCCCCCCCCCTCCGTTGCCATGGTATGGGGAATGGAGGATAGAACAGAGTCCCGCAGCAATCAGTTATCAACAACGTTCTTTCAGAAGGTTCAGTTTATTGGTTACAGTAAAGGCAGGTCATCTGTGCGTACATTCAGTGTCAGAACTGACCGTAAAGGCAGGAGAAGGGAAGATATACAGAATCCTCCTGATGATAAAGAGCCAATCAGAAAATTGACAGCAGCGCGCCTAAACTAACAGGTTCACATTCCCAGCAAAGCATCTAGCGAAAGGTACCAAAGTCACAGGCCCAGGCTAAGAGATAACACCGTGAGAAGAAATGAAAGTTAAAATCCCAGCACAATAAGACACTCAGCCCACAGCCGCCTCCCCCCCCCTCCACCTGCCACGGCAGCGTAGCTGACAGTGTCTCTCGTCTGTTGCCACGGAGAACGCCCATGATTACAAACTGCAATGAGTGCACGACGGGGAATCTTCCCCAAGTGGAAGCCATCCAAGCGGTGGACCAGATCCACACCAGTGTCAGTAACATCACAACACAAAACGAGCAAGGATTCACCAGTAGCACTTTAGAGGCCAATAAGTGTTCTGAGGAAGGGGTCTTTGGCTCTTGAAACCGGGTGGGCAGTAAATTCAGAATGGACAACAGGAAATACGTCTTTACCCAGAGACTGATCAAACTGTGGGATTCGCTGCCAGAGGGTGTAGTGATGGCCGCAAGCACAGACAGGTTTAAAAGGGGATTAGATAGATTCATGGAGGAGAGGTCTATCAGTGGCTACTAGCCAGGGTGACTAAGAGGAACCTCCACATTTGGAGGCAGTCAGCCTCTGAATCCCAGTGCCAGGAGGCAACACTGGGGGAAGACCTTGGCCTCTATGCTCTGTTGTTGGCCGTCCAGAGGAACTGGTGGGCCACTGTGTGAGACAGGATGCTGGACTAGATGGACCTTCACTGGTCTGATCCAAATGGGCTCTTCTGGTGTTCTTATGAAGGCCTTGGTCTCTATACCCTGTTGTTGGCCCTCCAGAGGAACTGGTTGACCGCTGTGTGAGACAGGACTAGATGGACCACTGGTCTGATCCAGCAGGGCTCTTCTGATGTTCTTCTCAGGGGAAGGCCTCAGCCTCTCTGCCCTGTTGTTGGCCCTCCAGAGGAACTGGTTGGCCGCTGTGTGAGACAGGATGCTGGACTAGATGGACCACTGGTCTGATCCAGCAGGGCTCTTCTGATGTTCTCATGAAGGCCTGGGCCTCTGGGCCCTGTTGTTGGCCATTTCAGAAGAGCTGGTTGGCCACTGTGTGAGACAGGATGCTGGACTGGATGGACCACTGGTCTGATCCAGCAGGGCTCTTCTGATGTTCTTTTGAAGGCCTTGACCTCCATGCCCTGTTGTTGGCCCTCCAGAGGAACTGGTTGGCCACTGTGTGAGACAGGATGCTGGACTGGATGGACCACTGGTCTGATCCAGTGGGGCCCTCCTTATTTTCCTGTGTAAGCTTATACCCTGGAAAACTTGTTGGTCTTCAACGTACTTGCTCTTCTACCTCAGAGCAACATGGCTACTTGCCTGAAACTAGCACCATAAAATATTCCCGGAGTTTTCCTTTGCCCTGGAAGATGTTCCAGTGGATGCAGGCTGGCGTGTAAAAAAAGGTGTCTTCTCCTTTCACAGGTTTTATCCCGCCCCCTCTGATCTTTGGCGCCGGAATCGACTCGACGTGCCTGTTCTGGAGCACATTCTGTGGCGAGCAGGGAGCGTGTGTGCTTTATGACAACGTGGTCTACAGACACCTGTACGTGAGCATCGCGATAGCCCTGAAGTCCTTTGCGTTCATCCTATACACCACCACCTGGCAGTGCTTGAGAAGAAACTACAAGAAATACATCAAGAACCACGAAGGCGGACTCAGCACTAGTGAATTCTTTGCTTCCACTTTGACCCTGGACAACCTCGGGCGGGACTCCATCAGCCAGAACCCGGCTCACAGGACAAAATTTATCTACAACCTCGAAGATCACGAATGGTGTGAAAACATGGAGTCGGTTTTGTAGTGACCGCAGGGTTGTGTTGATCGCCCAAGGATCCTTTTTAATGTTTTAAAAAAGAGAGAAAGAAAATATAATATATAAGAAGGGATCGTTTTGGAAAATGCAAGCGACACGGCAACCGGCACTACCTTATCGACGATTGCCAGAAGTTTCCGGAACGCCCTCATACGTACTAAGAAGGTGGAGAGAGACCTCTGTCCTCTTCCCGGAAAGCAAACCTAGGTGAGATTCAGGAGAGTGGGACCCTTCTTCAAATTCCACTCGAGAAACAGAGAAAACAGGAAGCTGTACTTCAAGATAGCGGATGCATCGGCCGGGGGCGCGACGGATGGGTATTTGGGGAGCGTCACCGTTTTGTCGGAGAGCTGAGCAGATGGACATTTTTTGGGGTAAAAATGTCAAATCATAATCACATGAAACCCCAACAAACCAGGAGAAGACCTGAACCTTAGCAGGACACTCAAGTACCCCCCCCCGGGGGGGGGGTGTCCCCTTTGCAATACAAGCTACAAATGTGTAGCTAAACTGGGTGCTGTTCAGTCCCAGAATTCTCCTGTCTCTCTTCCTGTCGGATGTCCAAGGAGGAGCCATGTTGGATTCACCACATCAATACCGTGATCACCAGCTGTAATTCAAGCAGACATGCCCAGATTTGGGGGTTCAAAGGCCCCGAACCCTCACACGTCACCCCATCAGTCCCCAAACACCAGCAGCTTTTTTGTTAACATACTTCAGAGTTCTGGGGCGATGGGGGAGTCGTACCTGGCTGTGCCAGCAGAGGGAAGGGTGGTGGGGCCTTTAGGTGACTCTCACCGAGCATTCATTACCTTTTCAAAATATGGAGGGGAAAGGATGAGGCCTAACGGGAAAAGCAGACGTTTCTGATGAGAGAGTCAGAGGCGGTGGCCCCCGCAGTGTGTCCCAAGGAAATATAATTTTCTGCCATAATGTGAGCTCGGGGGGGGGGGGGGGAAACGAGGTAAATAGAAAAGAAATAAATTTTTCTGGCCTCAAGAGGGGTGGGGGGGGGGGGGGCAGACGGAATTTACAAAAAAAAATTCTGCAAATGTTTTTACCAGGATTCACTTGAGGGGTGGGGGGCATTGGCTGTGGAAGGCGATTCTCCCGCTTTTCCAAACATTCGCCGTTTTTCCCCCCGGGCGTGCCACAGAGTGGAAGAGGGACAGATAGAGGGTTCTAGATCGATGGTGCCATTTTGCAAGCAAAATGGTGGTCTGCCCTGCCCAAAGCAGGACTGCAAATACAGATCGTTGTCCTTAGTGCGAGAAGCAACTGGCCAATCTGGCGATTGATTTCCTGCCGATCTGTAGTCTGGGTCTCTTTACAGAGGCTCAGTCAGTACCTGGATTCAGCCTCTTCAGATCTCGTCCCAGGATACTTCTCCATTCCTTTCACCCAACATTCCCTCCAGTTAGAAATGCAGATGAAGCGAAGGCCCTTTCCAATACGCTCGTTATCTCTGGCTGTGGAATTTGTGTTTATATGTTTGAAGTGCAAAGTCCCACACAGAATAGCCCTTTTCGGGCATCACGTTTGACCACGTGTACAGGGAGAACGCACTACACGCCATCTTCCCAGTACCCACGGCTGCCGTTTTGCTTGAGATGGGCCATGCAAGTGTATTTAAACTGTACGCATGGTCAAACATGGCACCCAGAATGTGCTAATCTGGCCATCTCAGTGCGTGAGAACTGGATTATAATCCGTAACACGTTGTGTGGCTGGAATCACATGATGGGTCAAGAAGGTGCCGTGAATGCCCTTAGAACGAGCTCTCTCTCTCTCTCGTCACCTTCTGTCAGTCTTTCTGTTGAATTTTTTAGGGTTGCCAGGTCCGACTCAGGAAATATCTGGGGACTTTGAGGGCGGAGCCAGGAGCATGGATGTGACATCACTCTGGGAGAGGGGAGGGAGGAAGCATGATTGAACTCCAAAGGGGGTTCTGGCCATCACATTTTAAAGGACCGCGTTCCTTTAAAATGCCTTCCCGCCATTGGAAATAATAGAGGATGGGGGCACCTTCTTTGGGGGCTCATAGGATTGGACCCCCAGGTCCAATGTTTTTGGAACCTGGGGAGGTGTTTGAGGAGAGGCATCAGATGCTATGCTGAAAATTTGGTGCTTCTACCTAAAAAAACAGCCTCCCCCCCAGAGCCCCAGATACCCACAGATTGATTCTCCATTAATACCCTATGGGGACTGGTCTCCGTAGGGTATAATGGAGCACCCAGCCAACATTTTCTCCCACACACACTTTCTGATAACCCTGAAGTGGGGGGAGGGCCTCCAAACCAGGGGGTTCCCTGCCTCCAACTGGTGATTAGCAGCCCTATTTAATAATACTTGATCATCTATGTTCAGGCCTATACAAAGCCTCCCCATTGCTGGCAGGGCCTTGTAAGGAACATTGAATATTCCCACCT